ACACATGGAAATGACAATGCTTAAATGTTACATCGCTGGAGCATTTAACATTTGTAAAACAGGATATGTGGCCACCTTCAATGTTAATGCTGCAAGCAAAGTTGTACTTATCATTCTTAGAGATTAGGGGGTGTTTATTTATTTGTGTATGTATGGAAACTATGATTCTTTGTTCTTTGTGTACGTGCTAGGACAACGGAGCCTTCTGGTGGTTGGCTGGAGCACGGGGCAAGGAGCAAGGACAAATTGTTGCCATTTCTAACCAGAACTGTAGCAAACTAAACTTTGCAGCCTTGTATGCTTATGCGAATGATCAGAGCATGTTGTGTGATGTAATGCATTTGTGATAGGACGTTAACAAAAATTGCTACGTTAACAAAGATTGCTTCTAATAAAAGAGGGTTTCAGAGTTTGCTCTGTGCTCTCATCCCGGGACAACCTTGCGTTGTGTCTTTTTTCCATGAGAGACCACCACAACTGGTGACCCCGACGTGATCTGCTGCGGGCAGATACGTGTTCTGCTCTTCTGTACTTATCGCCTGGAAGAGGCAAAGGTGCGCACCATAATCGATAACTGTCACAGGCGACGATTATCTTCGTAAGTATGGGAGGAAAACTGTCACAACATCAGGAGAAGCATATTACAGAGTTGTTGAAGTTAGTCAGAACCAATTTCTTTATCTTTAGTTCTTCTGGTAGGGAAAAAATCTGTTTGTCACGATCCAATGTTAAATTGTTAATGCATACTGTATGGATACAATGTCCATGGTACCCTGAACGAGGTTCCTTAAAATTGGAAACGTGGAGACAGATTGGCAATGTTCTCCACGATGAGCCTCGGGCTGATTCAGAAGTTTTAACTTATTGTAAGATGGTTATTACTGCTTTAAAAGCCCAGCAACAGCTGTTATTGAAACCATTATTGGATCCACCTCCGTATCAAAATAAGGTAGTTTTGTATCCGCCTGTCTCGAGATTGGAAGATGTGGTATCTCCCCCGACAGTTTCTAAAAATCCATCAGGAGATGTCAAGGTGGAAAATCCTAAAATAAATACACCCCATGCTGGGAGAGTTCAAGCAGCTATGCAAGCAGCTTTTCAAGCAGGACAGCTGGAGGGGGAGGAGATTAACTCCATGCAATTGTTTCCCGTTCAGAGACAAGTTGACAATGCAGGAAATTTACAGGCTGTCTGGAATCCACTGCCTTTATCTCTTTTATGGGAAGTAAAGAAATCTGTGAAGGAGTTTGGCATACAAAGTCCATATGTCCAGGGTTTGCTTCACAGTCTGGGGCAAGCTCAAAAGATGATTCCGCAAGATTGGAAAGACTTAATGAGAATGATTCTGAACGGATCACAATACGTGGTATTTAATGCAGAATATCAAAGAGAAGCAATTAACAGAGGAAATAATTCAGGGGGTTTGTATATACCTGATCAAATCTATGGGGCAGGGCAGTTTGCAACTGTGGAGCAGCAGGCAACAAATTTGCCCGATCACTGCTTCCCAGTTGTTATGACTGCTGTTATGGGAGCGCTGAGGCGAGCGGAGGAGGCAGGAGTGCCTACTAAATCTTTTTCACATATCAAACAAGCAGCTACAGAACCATATGCAGATTTCATTGAGAAGCTCCAAAATGCCATTCTGCGGCAAATTTCTAATCCTGAAGCTGCAAAAGAACTTTTGATGAAATTGGCAGTGGAAAATGCAAATACAGATTGTAAGCAGGTTTTGCAGCCTTTGGTCGCGCGGCGGGAGGCAACCTTGGCAGATTTGATTAAAGCTTGTGCTGTAGTAAGTTCACAATTTTATAACATGGAGACCTTGGCTGTAGCTTTGCAAAAGGGTCTTAAACCTACTGGGAATTGCTTCAACTGTGGGAAGCCTGGGCATTTCAAAGCCCAATGCTGGGCCCCAGGAGGAGGTGCTGCTCTTTTTTGGAAGAGTTGGTCTTGCCTCGTTCCTCAGCTTCTAAGAAAGGGTTTTTTGTGATTCCAGGGGTTATTGATCAGGATTATACAGATATTATAAAAATTCAATTTTATTCAGATGTACCTGCTAATCTTGCAGCTGGAGACTCCATTGCACAATTGATAGTGTTACCCTATACTCCAATTAATCCG